AGACTGACATTGTGATGCTACTAAAATGAAATCACGCATGTTATTGCTAACCCTTCTGTAAATTGTCAGAATATCTCGACAAAAAAATATAATTTTCACTTTTAAAAGATACATGTCTAGTCTTGTCTTGTCCTTCATCACGATTACGAATTCTCTCAAGGCTTTGTTAATAACTTTTCAAGGAGATTGTTTCCCCTGTCCTGACTGAGTAAATGACTTATGTTGACAAGAGCCAGAAGAAAACAGTGTAACTGGAACTCCTCGTCTGTCTTCACCTCCTGCCCTGCCTCCGGAGCAGTGACAGAGCACGCAGATATTTCACACATTACATACGTCAAGAGAAAAAAAGCCTTTCCCTCTTTACTGACACATCCTTTAGTCAAACAGTTACTTTAGGAGACGCACTCAAACACAGCTACACATGCGAGCAAGCACACCCCCTTTTTGCGAGCCTCCGCAATGCAAAGCTCCATATAAGGGCATGGTGATGATGTAATGGTCCATAGGCAGGGAGCACATCCCTTATTGTTTGGGCCGCCTGCAGGAATGACCACATTACAGCTACTCAGGGAGTGAGACACACACAGAGAGGAAGAGTAGAGCGTCGGGTGTTGTACGGCAAGATAATGAGCTTATGGCAGTGAACCTGGGGAAGCCTTTGGCAGAGGTAGGCATGCTGAACATTACTACGGAGATCTTATTTGTCATTTTTTAAAAGAGTTGTGTGGCTTGGCTTAGTGATACATTTGAAACGTAGCATCCTTCCATGCTGGTATTCTGTACTTTTAATTGTAAGTTTTATGGTGTGTTTTTAATAGAATCTGTTTCGGCTTTAATGTTTTTATTGTGTAACTAAAGTAGATTCATTTTGTAAGTACCTCATGGTATTTACTGAATTGATTTGCGTGCTGAAATATATATAAACTATATCTGGAACTCAACTTCTCAGATCCAGTAAAACCCTAAAAAGGAACAATCCATTTTGCTTAGTGATGAATGAATGCTAAAACACATTTGGATTCATTGCTCAGAATCTGAAGGGAAAGCTATTTAAAAATGCTGCATTGTAAACTTAGTTATAAACTATTTAGACAGTATTTATATCTTTTCATATCAGAAAGTGGTGTTAAACATGTCACATTTCTGGCCCATGGGAGGAATTTCTGAAGGTAACAGAATCGTAGAAAACTTAGTTCAAACGTAAGGATCATGTGGCGTCCCATGTGTGTAGTAGAACAAAAAGGATATTGTAATAGATGCGGTATGGCAGAAACTAGATTAAACCTAATTTAACTATATTTCATATATATAGTATGTATAGTACAGCCGATTATTGTTTAGAACCAGATTTTGTGATATTTAAGCACTTTTAACAGCTTTTTATTGTCAGCTGAACTCATTTCTTGGATGTGGCTGTGAAATTCAAGATGAAACTCTAACTGATACAGAAATTGGTCAAATTAGGAGACGTTATAAGAACGTGTCTGCATTAAACAGCAAATGTTTTTTACGGAGATAATGGTGTGTGGTATTAAAGACTGTATGGGGGATTTCCATCATGTGTTTTCAGCATTTTGGAAAATACTGCATAATCTAACTCACACAACTTTTACGGACACAAAGTTAACACCCATGTCTTCTTTGGTAACACTCTATTAACCATTTCATCACTAGCAGGAAGTTAATAAATATCACAGCTACATATTTCACACATGTTGATTGCACTCTTGGGGCATATCACTTAGCCCGTGTGGACTTTACATTCAGTACAGGCACAGCATCAATCAGCGTTCCCCCCTCTTTCAAACTCTGTCACACATGAGGGCAATCGGCCCACAATCCACATGTTAAAGCGGAGGTGGCCATGAGGATATATCGCTCTGTACATACATGACCTAATCACTTGTGGTTAGGAAATGACATATGGAAGGTGAAACACAGCTTTAAGCAGCGGGTGAGCCACAGTTTCCAGCTCCAGGAGCCACGTAAAGAGAGGGGAAGCCCTCTGTGAAGCTGGGGCTAGTTGTGACTCCCTGATGGCTCACAACTGGACGTTTCCTTTTCTTTTTTAATGCCATGTATGCTTATATTTGAAGAACAGGCAAAAATACATTTGCACCAAAGCCAGAAACAGTCCCGTAAAGTTAAGACATTTGGCTAACCCACGAAATGACTCAAATCCACGCCCATGATGTCATGCATTTAAAAGGGGAATATGATTTGTATTGCAAAGGTTGCACAGAGTGGGTGGTGAGGTGACTTGTAATGTTGATAGCCATGAAACTGCTATGTCACAATCTTTATGTGCAGCACTTTAAAGTGTATTCCTCCAAAATAATGTTCTTTCAAGCTGTAGCCATCTCTGCGCTTTTAGGACACTGAGATGAAACCGGATTGGGAAAGGAAACGTGGACAAATGAGATCATAATAAGATAAGTCATGTTGATGTGTTCCCTGAATGCACATGGCAACTGCTTCTACTGACTTATGGCAGACGCTGGTCGGTTGAGCTACTACTCATTCAACAATGAATGGTCTCCAGCATTAGTTAAGGGTCAGAATATTCTTTCACCAAATGTAACTATCTATTTTCCCCCCTGCTTTCTAGTTCTAAGATGTGGCTCTTTTGGCCAAATACACTCATCTACGTGTGTGTCCATGACAAAAAGGATTTATATCCATTTCAGTTTCAAGTCTTACCAGGAAACAAAGTACATGTTCTTTCTATTTTGGCTGATGACTTCACTAGAAAAACATCAGGGACCGAGATAAGAGATCGAGTAAACAGTGATTATACAGGCGACATTTTGCAAGTGGGATGTCTGCCTGCTTTGCTTAGCAACTCAGTGTCTCTACGCAAACAACCCTTTGTGAAAAACAATGTCATTTTTCAACACATGCATGTTTCAGTAGAGGCTTCTGGCACAACACTCGTACCCAGAGTCCTTGAGAGTAACCATGATGTACATGTGTTATCAACACAGCAAGTTAATAACAAGGGCACACATGGAGTCAACAAGGCTAGGGAGAACATAATCTCAGCACCCGGAATACTCACATACCATCAAATAAAAAAGGGGTCTACGAACACATTCTGCTGAAAAACATGAGGCCTTTACGTCAAAGTAAAGGTACTGAATTTGCTATAAATACAAAGAAATAAAATATATTGCAGAATGGCCCATTTCACTATGAAACATCTATTTCATTATTATCTTTTCCTACGCAATAACGTGTAGGTAGTAGCTGGTGATGGGGTTAACAACTTTATTGTATGTTGTATTCATAGCCTGAAACTAAATAGCAGTACATAAAGCTTTTGAATAATGAACAGTACAATATCTGCATAATGTCACAGCATATAAGTAATAAGTCATTTGTATCAAGTAAGAGTATCGAGTTAATGTACTTATTATTGTTAACAACAGACTCTTAATATAATCTGGTTGAGTGGCACATATTTTCAGTTTTAACAGGATATGGTTCCCTTAAAATAAAGTTTACAGCATATTTCATAATAAGTAATAATAGTGAATTTGCTTCTGGAAATGTAGCCACAAACATCTCCGTAACCAACCACACCACATTCATAATGAATATGCATTCTTATAATACTTTATAGGATGTTGTTTGGTCTGAATGTAATTGAAACAGATGGATGCAGTTAAACATGCCCCCCCCCACCCCACCCCCTTTAGCTGCTACTGAAGAAAGAAATGATATACCCTCTACTGCTGAGAAGTGACCCACCCTTCCTCACTTACATCATGGCCCACAATCCAAGTGTACATGTGGAATTAGTGATCCCTAAGTGTGCGTTTGTGTGTGTGGGGGGATTTCTGTATAAACTCTGGGACTGTAATTGCCTTTAGAAGATGGGGGAATTCCTTTAAATGTATCAGGAAAAAACAGGGAGGGTAGGTGGTTAAAGAAGGGAGGGGGTAACGGGTTGGTAGTAGAGGAACCCCTTAATTAAAGGATTGTTCCATGCCAGGGGGCCATTTGTGTGGAAATGCCTGGCAGCTGCACACACATCCCCCCCGGGACTGTTGCCTGGGCGATGTATGTACCAGACGTACTGACCCCGGCACAAACTGCAACTGCATCCACTGGCACACATGCAATGCACCTTAACATCGTTTGTGTTCTGTACTCATGAGAAAATATGAGAAGTAGTTGAATAAATATCACCTATTGTACTGTTCTGCCTTTGGTTTGGTCTCCAGATTTAAGGATTGCATACCACTTGCTTTCATGTGCAAAAACCTTCTCTTCAAATAACCATTATACTTGCCTTTGTGCAATCTCCTCCATGTCAGCATTCATGTAATCAAAAAACATCCTGATTTGAAATGTCCTTTAAACAATATTGCTCCTCTTATCTGTTCGCATTATTTCCTGAGGTTAACATCAACATTTGGTTGCATGCCAGTCATGCCCAATTATTTCCCAGAGGACTTAATCGGCCTTGTGTTATACCCTCAACTGGATGGAAACTGATTGTTTAACTCAAGGCTTAATATGTACAGCAGGAACGTAGGTTTCCAAGCCATGGGAGGATTAGTTGGCAACAAGGGAACAAGAAAAAAGTAACCACAGGTATTTCAGATTACCAACCTGAGAGAGTTTAAGTAATGCTTTTTATGAAGTGTTGAATTTTCCATGACATAAAAATGTTAGTCCTCCGCAGAAATGCAGGGAAAATAACAGTGTTTATGATGTGTCAGGGCTTGGAGAAGTGGGCCTAATGGGTAAGGACAGTGGGGGTGTAGAGTTTCTTAAGCGCCTTTCACATATAACATATGAAGACTGACATGTTAGTTTTATCAATGATTTGAATGTGTGTTGCTCCAGAATTCACTGGAAGTTATCAAAACAACAGGGGAAAGTAACAATTTCGCAACACTAAACATTCACAAATGTTTTAAATGGATATGCCATTTCTATTTACAAGCTCTGAATTGGATTGCTCATGGTTCCCTTTTTTGTTTTTTGTACAGATTGAAGCTGTTAATTGATCAGGACAAGGCCTACCAGGAAAGAAAGGAGGAAGAAAACGACCAAAAGGTTGAAAGTCTGAAGGAGGAGCTGACAAAACTCAAGTCGTTTGCGTTGATGGTGGTTGATGAACAACAGCGTCTGACTGAGCAGCTGAAACAACAAACAGCAAAGTTCCAAGAGCTGAGTGTCACTGCTTCGCAAGCCCAGGAGGAGCTGAGCTCAGCTAATGCCCGGCTGCAGGAAGAGGATCAAAAGGTCTTTCGCTTGGAGGCGGAGCTGCATGACCACTCCGGTCGATTCCATCAGGAACAAGAGACCATGACTGCCAAACTGACCAGCGAGGACGCACAAAACAGGCAGCTGCGCCAAAAACTGTCCACTCTCAGCAGGCAGCTTGATGACCTGGAGGAGACCAACAAGACCCTGCGCAGAGCAGAGGAGGAACTGCAGGAGCTGAGAGACAAAATCAGCCGTGGCGAGTGTGGAAACTCTAGCCTCATGTCTGAGCTCGAAGAGTTACGTAAAAGGGTGCTTGAAATGGAGGGAAAGGATGAAGAGTTGATCAGAATGGAGGACCACTGCAGGGACCTGAACAAGAAACTGGAGAAAGAGGCCACTCAAAGCCGGAGCTTGAAGGCTGAAGTCGATAAACTGAACCACAGAATTATGGACTTGGAGAAATTAGAGGACGCGTTCAGCAAGAGCAAACAAGAATGCAACTCTCTCAAAAGTAACCTGGAGAAAGAGAGGACGGTGTCACAGGTTCTGACCAGTGAGCTGGAAGTCTTGAAAGTCAGGGTCAAAGAACTGGAGGATGCTGAGAGTCAACTAGGAAAGACGGAGCTGACTCTGAAGGAAGATCTGACCAAGTTAAAGACTTTGACAGTCATGCTGGTGGATGAGAGGAAGGCAATGGCAGAGAAGCTCAAGCAAATGGAGAACAAGGTCCACAACAGCACTGGCAAACTTCAGGCTGAACAGGACAAAGTGACCTCGGTCACAGAGAAGCTAATTGACGAGAGCAAGAAAGCCCTAAGGTCAAAGGCTGAGCTTCAGGACAAAATGTGTGGCGCTACAAAGGAACGGGATGACTTGAAGGCCAAGTTGAGTGCTGAAGAGGAGAAGAGCAATGATTTGGAGTCTAAGATCAATATGATGAAGAAAAGGTTGCAATCGCTTGAGAACATAGAAAGAGAATACGTGAGAAGCAGAGCTAAAGAGGACCACACCAAATCCCCCATTGCTAACCGCTTCCAACAAGAAGAGAACAAAGTAAAGGATTTGACGCAGGAGGTTGAACGCCTCAGGCACAAATTAAAAGACATGAAGGTGGTGGAAGGTGACCTCTTGAAAACAGAGGAGTTTGAATCACTGGAGAAAAGATTCAACAGTGAACAAGAGAAAGGTAAAACATTAATGGAGGAGCTGGAAATATCCAGAAATGAACTTTCAAAGTACCAGCTGGCTGAAAAGAAAGAGTGCAACCAAGAGCATGTTCTTTATAAACGCTTGAAGGAAGAGGAGGCTAAGTCTAGTCATTTGACCAGAGAAGTAGCAGCTCTGAAGGAGAAGATCCATGAATACATGGGGACAGAGGACTCCATTTGCCGCATGAAAACTGACCACTCGACACTCCAAAGAAAACTGACCCAACAGGAAGTCAGAAACAAAGAACTGGCCAGAGAAATGGAGACACTCAACAGAGAGCTTGAGAGATATAGACGCTTTAGCAAAAGTCTTCGCCCTGGCATGAATGGAAGGCGCTTTTCAGACCTTCATGTTGCCACCAAGGAGGTTCAGACAGAGCCCCAGGACCTAATGTCTCCCAACTGTACAATGACAATGGCCCCCCTGGAACGTGCTGTGGTGAACGGGAAGCTGTACGACGAGAGCGAAGCAGAGGAGAATGCAAACTACAGCAATGAGCTTCAGCTCACCAAATGCAGCCCCTCACTTTTAAATAATGTAAATAATCTAAACAACTTGAGAAGAGCTCGAGTCCCGTTTGTTAAAAACAAAGACACCTCCCTTCAGGTGAATGGTAAAGGGCAACCACGGCAGAATGGCAACCACGTTCAGCCTGGAGATGTGGTGTTGACCCACAGTCCTGGGCAGCCTCTGCACATTAAAGTGACTCCTGACCACGGACATAACACAGCAACGCTAGAGATCACCAGCCCGACCACAGAAAACACCCAGTCATTCACCAGCACTGCCGTCATACCCACAAGTGGAGGTCCACCCAAACAAAGAATTACAATCATCCAGAATGCTTCCATATCCCCGAATACTAAATCCATCTCCCCATTGATGAAATCTAAAGGGTCCCCCATCTCCGATGAACTGTATTCACCAGACAGGGCCCTATCACCTTTCAATATGGCTGCATACTCAAGAGCAATGTCTCCAGACTCTTGTGGCTCTGTAACACCAGACAGAGCCATTTCACCTATACAGATAGTGTCAGTCACAACAGGCACCCCTGAACGCTCCCTCTCCACGGAGCCACTGGAGGTTGTTGGAGGGCACGCAGTCTTCCGTGTGACCCCAGAAAGGCAAAGCAACTGGCAGATCCAGAGGTCTAACAGCTCTGGGCCGAGCGTCTTCACCACGGAGGACAACAAAATCCACATTCACTTAGGGAGCCCCTTCATTCAGAGCATCAGCACTCCAACGCAAACACTGAGTCCGTGCAACACACCTGGACTCCAGGAGCAAAGGACTCAGGTGATTGCAAATTGCAGTAATTCTACTATCAAAGCCACCAGCAAAATCACAAGTAGCATCACGATTAAGCCCACCTCCACCCAAATCCAAAGGCCATCACAAATTACAGTAAGTAATGTCTATGAGTGACCTCATAACCCCTGAAACTCTCCATCCCATCCTTTGTTACTGAGTCCTCCCCATGAGACCCAATACAACCATAGACCCTGATACCCCAACCTGTCTATACCATTTCATCTGTCCGTGATTTATGAACTTAAACCGTGGTTTGAATGTTTTTTTTTTTGGTTGGTTTGCTTGGTTATGTGTGATTAAATTGAAATCATTGTTTGCCTGCATGAGAGATCAATATCATTTGAAAGCACTAGAAATATTGATTTAATTTGACATAACACCTGGTTTTAACTTATGTGCACTTACTGTATTGTACTCAGTGGCACATTTGCCACGCAGTCAGACTATTCACACTGATGTATCATATCAGCTTTTATACTTCATATTACACATACTGCATTATGATTACGTTGTTTGGTTTTCTGAGGATTAAAGTGTGCAAACAAATATATGTTTTATAGTTTGTCATCAATGCTTGCCAATTTCATTTACTCACTAAATCCAGCATGTTATAAATGTTTATAAATAAAAAATAATTATCTGGGGAAATGATTTTTGGCGCATGCACAGTAACTTTTTAACACTTTAAATTTCAATACAATGTTTTTATGTTACAGTGTGTTAACAAAATATTTCAATTCACTTTCTCAAAATTGAACATAAAGACTGTCCAGACTTTGTTAGACCTAATTAAATAATACCCAAGTGGAAGAGTTGTCTGTAAAACCTTTGTGCTCACACTAACCAGAAGACAAGAAAACCTTCTGGGACTCTAACATGTGTTCGCTTGCTTGAGTTAAGATCATAGGCTGAGGTCATAGTTTCTTCTTACATTCAGGGCACAGAAACCAAGAGACCGAGAATGAGAACCAGCATGATGTGAACTCGCTGTTCTCCGAAATGATAGAATGGAAACCCTGCTTGAAACCTTTAAAACTCAAAAAGCTGCTTGATATGTGATTATAGAAAGTGCAACATTTTGAGTTAAAGTTGCTCTTCCCGTCTGTATTAACATGAATGAATGAAACATGGTTAGGATTGTAGGTTACTGAAACATGGTTACCATTCAGATAAAATCACCCACTTATAAGTCAAGTGTTGTAAAAGTGATTTAAACAAACACAAATTCTGTCAAATGACAAACTAAATTAGTAACATAAGTTAATCAGGCGATAAATTCAGTCTTCCTTTATCTCTTATTGGTGCTGTTCTCAAAAGTATACATCTGTAATCATCATATCATGACAAATAAATCCTTAACCCTTGTGTTGTGTTCAAAAGGTCAATTTTGACCCATGATTTATCTCAGTCCAAAACACACACAAAAAATGACTATCATCCAATATTGTTTTAATTACATCATAACTAACTTATAATGTATTCATAACCGTACAATCCTGTTGTAATTTAATGCTATGGCCCAAAACACATTACACCACATATTGCACACGTGCATATGCGTGTTAATGTTCAAGTGTTAGTGTACATATTCTTTGAGAAAGGTCGAGTTCCGGTGGGGGGAGGGGGCCAGAGGGAGGGGAGACCAGGCGCATGTTGCGAACACAAATTGTTACAGTGGATGATGGGGTGGGGGAGGGGTGTCTAAAGTCAAAGATGAAACTTGATTGCGCCAAATTTGACCTCGAGTCACCCAAAACAATTATGCTGGGTCTCCCCAGACCCAAACACCAAATTATACACTTTTTTTTTAGAGACCTTCAGACGTGGCAAAAATGGTCGAAATCAGTTTTGTAGTGTTTATATAGCTGTTGTGGAGGATATCATGAAGCCTTGTTCCAATAAAAAAAAATAGAGCGTAGTAATTATATAATTTTAACTTGAAACGGGTCACGGGAGACCCGAACACAACATAAGGGTTCAAATTAAAATATTTCACTACTGGTAGAAAAAAGAAAGACTGCCAAGTTTTTGCCCCTTTCTGAGAGTGCTGCCACCCCAAATTGCACCCCACACTTCATCAAAAAGCCCCTTCGGAAAACCTGATACAACGTCCCAAACTCAAAAATACTAATGCATTTGTTGATAGTTCAACCTCATTGGTCTTTTAGCAACAATTCTCATTATTCATCGGGTAGAAACCCAAACCAAAAACTCTGTTTTATTTTGCTTCCTCCCATGAATCATGTCCTTTGAAATGAATCATCAGTACAACTTACGAACGGTCCTCCATGTATATGCATTCTTGTACATGTGGTTTTCTATGCTCCCACAGTGGAAACATCACCACATATGATTTGTTAACTTTAATCCGTACCGAAGGTCAGAATAAATGGTGAAGGGATGGAGACAGAAAGACAAGAATGGGAGGGATGTGGGTGAGGAGACAGTGGGGAGGATGTGGGAGGATTGTATCTGTCATTAGTGTCATGTCTTAAAACCAAACTAATGTAAGAAAATGACATTTAAAAGAGAAATAAATGTAAGTATACAGCCACACTCTCTTTCTAGCAGAATGTTTTAGTATATCTGATTGAGCTCAACATCTAGCTAGTATAGTTCATAAATATGCTGGCTTTAAATTTGCCACTAAATTATCCACAGTCATGTTTACTGTGTCAAAGAAGCAACAGCCATATTTGAGGACAGCTGTCCTAAGATGTCAAGTCAAATAATGTCACTTGACCTCTAGGGTTCATCCTCATTCCCCAAACTCTTACCCACATGTTCCAAAAATAGAGCCATTTAATTAGATGCAACATCACTCTTTACTGATATCTTTGTAGCATGGACCAAGTCATAAGTGTTATTTAGATGAAGCAGAACAACTCAAACACACACACACCACACACACACACACACACACACACACACACACACACACACACACACACACCACACACACACACACACACACACACACACACACACACACACACACACACACACACCACACACACACACACACACACACACACACACACACACACACACACACACACACACACACACACACACACACACACACACAAACAAACCACTGTGACAAGTAGAAGATGATTTAATCAAGCATTACATTCAGTGAGAAGAGCAGCTGGAGAAGCCGGATCCAGAGCAGTCTGGGCACAATGAGATGATGCAGGGGCTAAACAAGGTGCTATTCATTAGACTCGAGCAAGACATGAGAGAGCATCCAGCAGCTGGGATTACTGTCTGCAACCTCAATCACCCCCTGACTCACTATAACATCACTTAATACTGTAGAGTGTACTCGTCTGGTTCAGCCAAGGAGGACAGAAATGCAAATAGTTTCTCTGCCAGACAGATAAAATGATCAAGTAACACGACGGAAGCCAAAGCCTACGGTGATCCACACTAAACTCACATTGATAATGCAGATTCAAAGCGGGTTTTGGGGGGGTGAGATAAAACATCAAAAACACCAAATACATGATGTAAGTTTAAAGTGTGATTACTACACTACACCCTGTAAAGACAAGGTGTGTTTGACACTGCAGGCGAGAGCGGATTTCCTCCTTTTAGCCCACTATGAGAATAATGGTGGAGGAATTTGCTCACCTTGATTGACAGGCACTATAAAAGAGGGGACAGACAATAACCAGCAGTATGAGGCCTTTAGCTAAACAAAAGGCCTCACAGTGCGTGTGAATGAGAGAGGGTAGCGATGTGAGAGTAGCCTCTCTCCCACCGCAACACTAGCACCAAAACAAACCCCGTGTTTAGTCGCCATGGAAACAGCCGGGCCGGTATTGCAGAGGAAGTACTTAGTTGAACTCCTGCTGCAGAGCTGATGTACGAGAGAACAATGCCGCACATTAAGGCCTCTCTCCGAGTTAAATCAACAACACCCCCATGACGTGGAGCCCTTCCACATTTTCTGGCCCATTACCTTTGTTGGAGTGTAGACCATACTTATACTGAAATGTACACCCCGTATGAATATTTAAGGATATAGTTCACTGCAGGTTTTTGCTAATTCTCAAACCCACAAGCCGCACATGAACAAATCCAAGTACTTCTCTCAAGCGAGTCGTTTGCTTGGGAAAAGAGTGGTGATGAAACTCATGGAAATACTGAAGAGTTTCACTCAGCTGCAGAAGTGCAGACCAGATTGAAGTTTGTCTTAGTTGCAAAGTCACTTGATTTAAAACAGGCATTAGGCATACAGATGTTTTAATGCTGCAGTTATAATAATTCAAATTGGATCTTTTAGGTGAGGGCATCTTATCAGAAATGGCCAAATGCATTACCTTACTAAGAAGAAACAAGTTGGGGCAGTGTGACTGAAAATGTGCAAATAAGACCCTATGGTAACTTATTGACTGCCAAGGTTTGCTATAGAGTCATTTAGTCTCTGGAGCAGAAACACTATTAACTTGAAAAGGAGTAGAGACACACACATGTGGCTTAATCTGTGCGGACTATTTGAAATAGCACTAAATTATTTCAAAAGCTCATTTAAACTATATGAAAAAGGTAGAACACATCATCCTTAAATAAATTGCAATATTTAAGATAAAATAAGATAAGATAAGATAAGATGAACCTTTATTAATCCCCGAGGGGAAATTCAGTTGTACAAAGCAGCAATAGGGTAAGCGTGAAAACACAGGACAGCAAAGATTCACACAGATTAATAAAATCCAAAAAAAATTAAATCAAGAAAAAAACGTTTTAGAAGTAGTATACTGTACAAGTGTACTCTGGCTGTTGTTGAGGTCACTCTTTCTCGTGGAAACATCTTATCACAGTAAACAGGATATGGTTGTACTGTAAAAGGCCTGATCCAAAGTGATACAGCCTCAGAGTCCTGGCACGCTGCTGCTCATGTAAACAAGTTGATTGAAATGTGATTACACAGTAAGCGGTGCAGTAAGTTGTTTAAGAATCTGAGAAATGTGATGTTTCCAATGATATTTCCTCTTCTTGTTTGCAGCCAAACACTGGTTTCCAAGCAACACACTATTATTCTTTGATACTGTTATTAATAAAGAGATAATCTGGTATTAGATTAGTGGAAATAATGAACAAAAAGTCTTCATACCGTACAAGGTTAATATGGTGAACATTTGTTTGGGGTGCAACTAACAATTTACTCAATTTTGTATTCATCTTTGGGCAATTTTTCACACTGTTATATGTGAGAAGAATACAGACAACAGGCCAGGTAATTATTGTAGAATTTCAAAAGGGGTATCCTATTCGTTTGGAATATTATTTGTTTTATTTAGCGATATCGGAGTTACAAGACAAGTGCATACATGTACAGTGTCACATATACACAGAAGACAATAAGGAGCATTTACAAGTATACAAGACAAATAACTAAATATACATGGAGACAAAAAAAGAATAGAAAAACAGTGTGTGTGTGTGTGTGTGGCCTAGCATTACTATACTTGTGGGGACCTAAATCTGTTTACACAGTCACGTGTGGGGACTCGCCTCCCTTATGGGGACAAAATGGAGGTCCCCATAAGGGGAATCATTAATTTTAGGGTGAAGACTTGGTTAGGGTTAGGGTTATGGTTAAGGTTAGGATAAGTCTCCAGGAATTGCATGCAAGTCAATGTAATGTCCCCTGAAGTGATGTATACATGGTATGTGTGTGTGTGTGTGTATGTGCGTGTGCGATCAGACAAAAAGAGAGTAATGGCAAAATTATAATTAAAATGAAATGAGTAACAATATAATAGTCATATATCCTAGGAGGGGGGGGGGGGCATATCAATAGTAGCATAACCTTAAAGAAGTAGAAAGGGGTGGTGGGTGATTATTAATTAAATGTACCAATGAATGGGTTCCAGATTGCATCAATATCATTGGTTTGTTTTTTTATGCCGGCAGATACTTTTCCCGTTGAAATATATTCCATAAGCAGGTTTGGAATTTAATAAAACAATTGACTTACAATTAAACCAGCAGGGGGGAAAAAACAATAAAGTTTAGTATCATAGTTTGAATATCTAGTTACTATGAGATCATTTTGACGACTATCAAAAACTGGACTGACTTCCAGAATTCAAAGCCAAAGTGCAGAAGTCATGCAGTACAAGTTGGAAAACATGATTTGATATCATCTAGTGGTCATTTACCAGTATTACATGAGAGCTTTACTGGATACTGGAAACAATGTAGCCTGTGGAGCAAGATAAAATCATGCATGTTGTCTTGTGCACTATTTCTCCCCAGTACAGTGTTCCCACTACAAAGTCTTTTTTATTTATTTTTGTACAGATACCTCCAGAAGCATTACGTCGACCAGGACCTACGAGAATCCCCAAACCGAAAGGCTCCAGCTCCCAGAAAGTGACAAACGGCACGGCAGCAAACCTGGGGCTGCAGAACAAGAGCCAGCAGGCGCCGTGCACACACCCAGCCGAGGAGAAAGAGCAGCACACACACTCTGCTGCAGGACAAAACAACAGCAACCCAAACCTGGCCAACCGCAGGCTGTGATGTCCCATGGACTTTCATTCATGTTTTCTTTAATCTTTAGGGGCACTAAAAAAAAACATAACTCAGCGTTTTTGCATCTATTGATATCAAAATTCAACGTGTCAAAAGTACTGCTTTCAACTATTAAATACAATCCTCATCTGTAGTGCTCTGAAGACAAGCATTTCTGTGTTGATGTGTAATGTGTACACACTGTAAATAAAGCTACACAATATTTTTAGAAAGTAGTTCCAATGTCACAGATCTTTGTGAGGATGTCACTGTGGTGAAAATAAATGAAACTGAAGTGTAATACTAGAACATTAAGTATGGTATAGTGTATGTCATGATGTTCACTGTAAAGGGATTTAGTTCCCTATTCTCTTTCTGTTGAGACATACAGATAATGACAGTCGTTTATTCATTCAAGTGGATATTTTGTTAAGTGGCAATAATGTACATAAGTGTAAAAGTGATGTGATGTAATGCAGCTCCTTGCTAGTGATTCATTCTTCAATGTGACATTTGTGTTATCAATAAAGATTTTTTATACCTGAAGAGAAATATTTCTGATCTAATTCTAAAAATGAATTGGATTTGAGAAATCATATAAATATCATGATGCAGTTTATGCTGATCAACCATTACCACATGTATACAGTTTGAAAGCAAAGCCAATTTAAAACATTCAATTGAAAATATTGCATTGAAATATTTTATTACCACTGAAAACTTGGAATATATGTATGTCAAAATTCTAGGTGGTGCAATGAGGAACAATAACAAACAGTGATTTTTGTAAGGTAAAATTAGTGATTATTTGTATAGATATACAAGGGAAAGAAATGCAAATGGCTGATACATACAACAAGTACATGCAGAGTGTACAACACACAGCTTCTTTACACAAAAGACAAAAAGCTACCGGAAAACGCAACACAAACCAATCTATAATATCCACTGTGATTCATACTGTTCGACAACTACTTCATAAAAACTACAAGTTATTTTATTAAACTGCAAAAGCTTCATGGTGCGCGAGTACAGGAATAACTAAAATATGTAATGAGCATCATTTGGTGTACTGCCATGAGGTAAATCAAAAATATACGTGTATAAATAGTTGTAATATTCCGTAAAAGTGGGTTCAAAATGTCAAGCTGACAAAGATGTGTAGAGATATTGGTTGATTTGTCACTGTCATTTGATAACCTTCCACCTGATGGAAAGCAGGATTGTGCAACATTTTACAAAATACTTCATTTGTCTTAGTTATCATTGTGACTCTAGGACTCTAAATACTTTAAGGTGGTATTGTGATACACAGTTTAAACAGTAGCAGGAAAGCTATGTTTGCAGGTATATAATATTGTGGAATGTGAAAAACAATTGGTTTAAGAGATTTTTCCTAAGCTTTAAAAACAAAGTAATCAGACTGTGGTGTCCAGTGGTGTCCAAACCTCCTCTTGTCCTGCCGGGGGGTTGTCCTGCCGGTGCCGTCACTGATGTACCGTCAGAGCAGCGTTTAAGGCGGGACGCAGCACAGACAGGAAGTGCTCTCTCTCCTCTCCTCTCTCTGTGGCACACACCCAGGAACGACAAGGACCCTCCAGGACAAAGGCATGACACACATCTAAAGAGACATCAACATTCCATCAACAAGATCAAAGACTTTTGCATCATTTGTATTATTTATATGGTAAAACAAAACTCACAGCGTGTGTGTGTGACCTCTCTGACGGACAGGCTGCAGAGAGCCACTGAAGCCAGGAAAGTGTGTGTGCTCTGGTAAGTCAGCGTGAAAGGTGTGTGATGAACACGTCGCCGGGTCAACACCAATGCGTCGTTAAACAGGAACAGGCCCACGTCTGACACATGCTCATAGATCCTGATCACACACACACAAATATAATCACACAGTTTGGCATGTAGCTGTAGGTACAGTGGCTGGTACATATAAGAAAATAGGAACAAGGGAAATGTGAAAATAGCCAATGGTGGATATGTTATGCATCAACGAATGACAGAAGAAGAACTTGAGAGAAATCAGCGCAGTGTTGTTACCTGAGCGAGTCAGGAATCTGCTCATCAGGGCTCCTGAGCAAGGCAGCATCCTGAGTTATTATCAGCTGCCTGTTTCCTTCACTGAGGTTCTGCACACACACACACACACCACAAACATTTAATTTGAACAAAAACGTCATCCTTCTAGTAGTGAAGCCTAATCTTTATCTGCAAATGGCTTTAAAAACAATACATAGACATACAAAAAAGAAGCTTCCAACTATTCGGTACAGCCAAAAAGAGGGTTCCGTCTTTACCGGGCATCCTTGGATCATCTGCTGCGTTTGCTCTATCAGCCTGTCTCTCTCAGAGTTACGCTTTAACTGAAACAGAAGAAACATGGCGCTGAGCACAGAAATGAGTCCACATTTAAAAAGTAGCGAGAGGTGCTACTTGTAGGCTCTGTGTGGGCATTGTACCTTTTGTGTGAATTCTCTGAATGTCACCAGGGTGTTGAGGGCAGAGGAGAGGTGTGTGTGGTCAGGGTGAGCGGTGTGTGTGTGCAAACACAGAGCTTGAAGCAGAGTCACATACTCCTGGATTCTCCACAGTGGACACAGCAGCAGTTCCTGTAGGCTTCACAAACACATGCATGGAAACATATCAAACACTAATCCATTGTATTTTGGTGGGCGTTGGATATAAAATAAAAATGTGTGTATGTGTGTGTTGTTACCTCAGCATGTGTGTTGAAAGAGTTCTGTCTGCTCTCTTCAGGAAAGCCCGAAATGGAGGCTTTGTCTCCCTGCACTGACACACACACACACACACACACACACACACACACACACACACACACACACACACACACACACACACACACACACACACACACCACACACACACACACACACACACACACACACACACACACACACACACACACACACACACACACACACACACACACACACACACACACACACACACACAACTTTATTGTCAATCTTTCAGTTGGTGTGGTACAGACAGAGATCGAAATACCGTTTCCCACAATCCCGAATACGAAAATACAAATATATATAAAAATATGTATATATCTATACACACAATCAACAGACACATTTTAAAGACATCAATAAATTAGTGCAACACTGTCCATAGCAGCGTTAAAAGTGTCAAATAAAGTGTCTTTACAGAACCTTGCTGTTAATAATAAATGATATTGAATTAAACCTTTACGTTATTTATTTATTTCTGACAAAAATATTTTAAAAAGCTAAAACAGAGGTTAAGGATTTCTCAGAACGCTGTACACTTAGCTAAGGCTCATTGGTGACAGTACCTTGTCGATGGTGTGGATGGCTGTGGTGTAGTTGTTGAGGTAGTTGGTGTAGACTCTAAGTTTTGAGCACAGTTTCACGAGCACATCTCCAACACACTGCTCTGCGCCCCACTGCTGCAGCCGGGCTTCTAAATCCACCTGAAACACCCTGTAACACACACACACACACACACACACACACACACACACACACACACACACACACACACACACACACACACACACACACACACACACACACACACACACACACACACACACACACACACACACACACACACACACACACACACACACACACACACACACACACACACACACACACACACACACACACCTGTCAGGCCATGTCTTCTCAGAGGGGCGCAAACAAGAGAGTGACAAATATGTGCGTGTGCCTGTTGAGCTCCAGTATCTGCGTGACAGGGCTGAGGACCATGCGGATGTCATTGTAGCTCAGAATGGCTCTGTTGGAGTTGAGCGCTGCTGTAAGAGGCTCCTGGTACACCTTCAGCACAAAGGAGGTGCAGGTATTATGACATTTTATGAATGAAATAAAGTTCAATTGCCTTTCTGCATTTCATATTATTGACAAGTTAACGGCGTACCTTCAGCACGGCGCCCAGTCTGCCCAGGTAAAGACACTCGCTGTGGTGGAGCTCTCTGGCAGCTGCCCCTCTCCAATCTAACGCTATCTAAAGATGAGAGAGAGAGAGAAATAGGTTTTGAAAACAAAGAATGCTCCATCAAACTTCACTGAAAGGATACACACCTGTGAGCTTTGTGGTGCTGACGAGAAGTCATCTGCTCTTTTGTTTTCGTCTCCACTGCTCTCTTCTCCCTCCTTATCATTAGTCCACCTTGTCAGGAAACCAGCAAGAAACTCCAGAGGTCTGGTCTGAAGAAATAAAGAATTAAACACTTATATGGACTGTTATAAGGGTTGATATGAAACGTTGTATCTTCTTAGCACTACTGTATTTGTGTATTACAGAGATCCCCACCTCTCTCTGTCGTGTGAGAGCAGTGAGTCCCTCTATCAGCGCCTCATTGAGATCTCTGGACACACACAGCTCCTCGAGGCACATTTTCTCCCACAGAAAAAGACCTACAAATGAGACGTTACAGGGCGTCATCCATTTCAACCTGAAATTGCTCCAGCCGTGTGTGTATGAATTTGAATCTACATTCATTTGAAACCCACCAAGAGCTCTGCCCCTGGCCTCCAGGCTGAGCCGATGTAGCTGTGGCCCCAGGTGGCCCCTCAGCGCCCCCAGGGCCTCCTCCATCCACTCAGCCTGTCTGCACCAGCCCTGCAGGACCCTCTCACACACAAACTGCAGCGCCGGGGCTGATGGTCCTTGGTTTGATAGTCCGGTGCACACGCTGCCGTCAGACCATTCACTCAGGACTGGGAGAGGGGGGGATATAATAAATAACAACATCTTTATTTATATAGCACTTTTCATACAGTAGGTGCTTTCACCTCAGATCAGATGTTAAGACCTTTTATGTGTTTCTTGTGGTTTTAACCTGATGCATTTCAGTTATTTTACACTTGGTGGTGGGTACTACAGTCTCGTAGTTGTAGTCCTCTATATTTCAATCCTGGTTGATGTGGTTACCGTAGCAACAGCAGGTGCGGTTTAATAGTGTAGCAAACACCTTGAATAGCTGCTTTGTTTTTAAATTCAGGAAATCTCTGTTTGATGTTTGATTGACAAATATCCTTTGGCTTCTTCACGTACTGTTTTGAAAACTTCCAGTTGCAAGACCCATTGGTGTCCGGACCTCCAGACCAGTCAGAGAAGACAGGGTCTGGATGAGAGCCGCTCCTGGTGCTGAGGGAGGGAAAGAGACAGAGAAGGGAAGCCATTGAGACAGACTCAGAGAAGTGTGTGTTTCTAACAGCGTCCACCTACCACAAGCAGCTAGCGGGGAGAAGATGTCAATCCCTCCTCCTTCCTCAGCTGGTGCCACCCAGCCACTAAGTTTTTCCCAGAAATCCCTTTGATCTGGGTTTAGCAGAGTCCTCTCTGACAGAATACACCCTAAAAAGTCAAAGATTAAAAAGTTAGCGTGGTGAGTCCATGCATAATGTAAAATCAATTCAAGATTTATGATAATTAGTCTCGGGCCAACTCCTAGCCAAGGGACCAGGATAGTCATGGACTGAGTGTAGACAAATACTATCAGAAAGAAAGTATCCATTAAATGGTTTTAGCAGATGTGCTTCACAGTATCCTGAGAGATACAGTTGGACTGGAACTCACCCTGGCAGTGTTTCCACACATTAAGATACACAGGATTATTAACTCTTACTGTGAAGCAGATGGATTTCTTCAGTTCCTCCAGGAGCAAGTAGGCCCAGTCTCTGAGCTCCCTGCCCAATGATAGCCCTCTCCACCTGGGCTAACAGAGCTGAGAGAGTCCCTCTGTGGTCGTACAGAACCACAATCACTCCTGCTTTCACACCACTCAGCAGCAGCTAGATGAAGCACAACGAGAGAGAGAAGGGGCAGACGGGGAGAAATAGGAGATGTTCATCTTCCCACTGTGCCTTTTTCTCTTTACACACTTCATCGCCGCTCTCTTCTCATACACAATAAATGGTGATTTAGGCTGTCTGACTGATAGGCTCTTCTTTTTTATTTTACCTCATAGGCAGGGATTCTGTTGGAGATCAGCAGTAAGAGGACAGGATGGGTCAGATGGGTGGGAGGGACTGTGTGTGTCAGTGCAGGTCTGCTGGTAAAAGAAGACAGCGCTCCACTTGCATTGTTCAGTCTTTCACTGAAAGAGAACAGACAGGTTCGATTAGCATCAGATAACAGCGTCATGTCTTATTACTGAAACCACCTAGACGTTGTTTGCATCCAAAGTGTCATCAGTTGTGTGAAAAAGCGTATTCATTCTTGTGTATGGCCAAAACATGTTTATGAGGCAATTGAGGGGGGTCAAATATGTCACAACCAGTGTGTAGACCCTCACCTGGAAGGACTGCAGGTCTGGACTCTGTCCCGGCTCGGAGCTGCAGACATGGTCTGTCCTCTGTCCAGGCTCTGACAGAGGCTGGGGGACCCTACAGTCCTCGGGGGCCAGGAGAGTGAGGGCCAAGAGCTAGATGTTATTCCAGAGCTGGGCCTCCCTGTCTGGGTACTTCCTCCTCTGGCTGCTCCTGGCTTTGTGTAGCTGCCCCAGGCTCTCCTGGTGCTCATAGACTGTCCTGCAAATGTCACAGATATAAACACTGGTAGGAGTTTTGTGATATCCGGTATCTTGTTTTTTCAGCTTCATCCAGAGTCCAAATGATAGTTCATAAGGTAAAAACCACTTTGATTACAGCAGATCTCTTTTCTACTTACTCTTATCCTCCTGTAGCTTGTCTCTGATCATTTGCCTGATCCTCCTCTCCTTCCTCCTCTCCTCCTCCTCTGTCATCAATGTGCTTTGTTGGTTAAGGGTCCCATACTGCTCGGCTGCCTCCCGTGGAGTGAGCCAGTCGAGGGTGGAGACGCAGGAGACGTAGTGGTTCTTCCACGCTCCATATTCTTTCTCTGCTGGAGTGTAGGGAAGGAACCAGCCTCTTGTGATGCAGCGGCTCGCCCACAGACAGTCCTGGGCAGGAAGAGGCAGAATTAAAAAGAAATATGAATAAAGTCTAAATAAAAGTTTAAAATAAGTTGTCTGTTCTGGGTCTCCCACCTGCTCAGAAAGCATTCTCCAGTGCCAGCTGACCTGGGCAGCAGAGCAGAGGTCACGAGGGGACAGAAATGACATCACGTACAGGGACAGGAAGCGTGGCAACACCGCCGTCAAGTCCACTTGTGTCACAGGAAGCGTCTCCATCAGAAGATCTCTGCAGTACCTGCTCACATTGTCAGAGGTTCATTTTAAAAATCACAATCTTTGGTTTCCATCTGAACAAAAGTTAAGAAATAATATAGCCCCAAAGTAAAGCAACTGAGAAGAGGAAGACCTTACTTGAGCTGTGACTTGGTGCCACGTGTGAGCAGAGAGTGCAACAGGTGTTTCCTCTGTCTGTCAGTCCACAGGTCAAACCAGTGCAGCACGAGGGTCATCCTCTCCTCAAATAACTAGGGAAAAGGACATCAACAAAGTTGGTAAAGTCAGTGAAGAATACATGGAAGGTGAACCTCATTGCATAAGAGTCTGACTGCTCTGCCAAAAGCTACACAACTGCTCTCCAAAACACTGATGAAGTCTGCAGGAATAACGAGAACAAAGAGTTGGGTTGATGGTGTGATAACAGCTGAAAACACTGTTCTAATGGAGCCTATTCATAACATATTAAAGTCCTGCCTTCCTTTTTAAAATATGTGGAGCACTGCCATTATTTATAAATATATCATTTCTGTATTGCTCATGGTCAATAGGTAAAATGATTATGTAATTAAATCCCTTAGTTCAAGAGAAAAAGCTTGCTGTCTGTGAACCATTTGTTCTACCCAAATGCATGAAATGGTAAAAAATGTTATATTAAGTACTAATGTTGCTTCAGCAGTTAACTATTTCGTGCTAGCATTATTGAGAACACGGGAAATATAGTTGTTAAATCCTTAAAAACCACATGCTGCATGCAAGTGTAATAATTTGACGATTACTGCCATCTGGTGGCTATAATTAAAATAAATCATAAAGGTTATTGAGCTAAGTTTTTGCCGGTTTTTACCTGCAGGTTGCTGCTCTGGTTGTTCAGGGGGGTCCAGCAGCTGAGGCGCGTGTCAGAGCGCGTGCTGCGGACCTGCTCATAGTCCGTCCCGCTGAGCTGCCACCGCTTCACCAAGTGAGGACTCGACCCCATGTTCTCACACAGGATTACCCGCTTTGAGAAAACGCCTGGAATTCTGTTTAAGTGTGCAAACGCCTATTCAATGCCAGATTTAACTCACTAAAAAGCAGATGCTGAGTACCAGGCTGCCATTGCCCCACTGCTCCCTGTAACCTTAGAGACGCGTCAACAACAGGATGCGCACATTCCTTCACAGGACAAAGGCACATGATCATTATGAAGAAAACAGACGATATTCTGCAAACCAAAAGTCAATAACATTGTAAATTCCTGTTTTAAACTTATTTGATAATGACTTTATGAATGTAAGGAATAAGAGGACTTTTCACAAGCAAATTATGCAATTTAAAAAATAATTTACAATATGCTTAAAACTAATCCTTATGATAATCGAATTTACATTTTTTCATACCCCCAACCCCTAATACTCATACCACATGATGACTTTATGGGTAAGTTGCAAGTATATGAAAAATAAAAGATAAAATTACAATCTACACAGTAATGTTATAACAAAAGTGTGATTCAAATTCATTTTGGCTTAACCTCTCCCAACTATCCCTTCACTTACCGTTTGAATGGAATATTTTCTCCCTTTTTCAATATTTTTAAATGAATGCTTTAAATGCTACAGCCAGAAGATTCAGACAACACATTTATTGGGTCAATAAAAGTCAAACCACAAAACAGTTAAAGCAGTAAAACACTTCTGAATAATCCCACATCCCCTAACAACACTGATTAAAATAAAGATTTACAATCAAAGCAGCATCAAATGATCTTTAAAACCACACAACCCAAACCAAATGTAAGTTGATTAGAAGGTAAGAACCAATAAGGCAAAAATGATGAAATGAAAAACATTAAGGCATGGTTGTGATGACAACATTTGGATAACTCGGCATGTTCCAGCATCACACCAATGAAAATGTGCAGTGTGCTCCGCGTATTGCATGGATATGTGCAAATATATATTCAACACTGAACAAGGTGTTGTAGTAGATATCAGGCTACTCATATGTAGCTAGAAATCATATGCAAAATCACTAACGTGGGTTATTTTTCTCAATAACATACGGCGCAGTCAACATGGTCAGAATCTACTGTGCATTTATGTCATTTTAAATGTAATCAATTGAACTAATTAGGATATATTGTAGGTTTTTGCTGTGTCTAGGATTAGATACAAGCTTGTGTTTAAAGCCGCTCTATGGGAAATAGTTCAAAACAAGAATTTCTCTATACATATATTGATAAGTTAATGTCTAGGTCCTAAGTTTGTGAGTGACACTGACCTGTGACATAGATAAGACAAAGTGCAACAGAGTAAGTTGATCTGAAAAGTGCTAAAGGAGCAAGTTTGCAGTCAGTTCACATTTAACAAACACTTTGAAGGAATTCATCAACTTTTGGACCAAACAAGGTGAATGCTGAATATCAATGTCACTTTGGCTAGCTATGTATTGCAAATCCAGACAGTGCGGATGTGAGTGAACTGGCTACAACTTGACTTTAAAACTGGCCAAGACAGGGATGCACCAAATACCAAAGTGTACTGTCAGATAGCAATGTAAAGATCTCAAACCTCACTAAATATAACACTGACTATCAGAAAAGGTGCTGAAATTAAAATCATGTCTATTGTTAGCATCCAAAAATAAGTGCATCCCTGTTGAGACATCTTACATCCACCCTGCTGTACAGACGCTGGTGAACAGCTGTGGCGCCATTTCTGCCACAATACTGGAGAGAACAAGTGCATCAAGCTGGCTTCAGACGGGGTTGTGGGAAGGGGTCTCTATACTGGCAGTCCTCGGGATCTCTTGGGAGTCGGCTAGATTGAGTTTCTGACTGGAGAAGTAGGTTAAAGGCAAACAAGCGTCAGGTATTTAACAATGAAGAAATCTAAAGACAAAGAGGTTTATCTTTCACTTAACAACCTTCTAAAAGAAATAAGGGACTACTATGATGCAGGAAGACCGCCCGGTGAATGTTAGATTGAAAAGGATACATGGAAGAACTCAGCTCCTCAAGCTGTGGACAAGGAGAACATTTTGTTAAACATGTCAGCAGTAGGTTGCAATCATTGGTCATGATGATGTAAAGGAATGTATATACTTGATCCTGCGACAAGTAGTTTACTACAATCTTAAAGAGTTTAACACACGGGAGTATAATCTGTTCTGCGATGTCGAGTCATCACAAGCTTTATCCAGAACGTAACGGCACAATGTGTACAAGGTATTTCCAGCTATTCAGGAAAACGACTATAAATCTTAAAATAAGAAATGTAAAAAATGGATTCATTTAAAACATATTATGCTATTGCAGTCTTACATTAAGAAGTAGTTTGTCCATGTTGGTGTCGCAGGCCACTTTCCTCTGGTCCTCTGGCATTTCATCCACCTCGCCGTAGAGGTCAAAGTGCAAACGGGCCAGTTTCTCCTGCATTTCTCTCACATGCTCCATCTGGCCAATGGAGCACTCATTGCCTGAAAACAACCACATATGTTAATGAATGTACATCAGGTATTAAAGGATTTGAAGGACATCTAGGTCTAAGACACCACTAGATGTCTCTCTAAGATTCTACAGTTTTGTTTATATCTCAAGACATGTGTGTGAAGTGTCCCTTTGAGTCTGAATTACCAAATGCTTGTAGTTTCCCTGAGTGGAAGTCATCGAGCAGACTGAGCAGGCCATTCTCCATCTCCTGTACGTCTGACACGTCAGTCAGAAAGGAGTGCTGGATGATAGGTGCCGCCTGCCCCTGCTTCTGGTTAGATTTACCACCTACACCTGGGTGCCTGGGTTTGTCTCTTACTCCCCTGGAAAAAGATACAGACAAATAGTTACCGTTTGTGCCACAGATCAGACTAGCAACCCCACATACTGTCATTGTGTATATCTGATGAAGATGATATACAACTAGGGTTAACATGAGATGCTACCTCCTAGTTTTGCTCTTTTGGCTGGAGTGAGTCCCTGCGTTATGGCTGGAGCCGACCTGCCGTCCCCCGGAGGTAGCACTGCTCTTCCGGCCAGCAGTGCCACTGGTCGGAGCCGGTGTGTTGGTGGAGATTTTGGGACTCTTTCTCTTTAGCTTTCGCTCCTCCATAACTGCATGTTACAGTCTCTATAGGGTTCGATAGATGATAAAGCACGAAACGCTGAGACAATGTACTACAGACAGCACTGTAACTCAAAACCAAACCCCGTAGTTCATAATGCAGACACAACACCCTGACAGATATTACTGTGCTTCGTGACAGAGCTTACGTTAGCTTATCAGCTAGCTAGCTAGCTAGCTAGCTAGTCGTCAAATATTCCAACCCACTAACATAATGCTCGTTTAAATTAAAGACTGCACTCAGAAGCCGGTTAGCACACTACTCACAATTGCTGTCGAGTTTATCGTTGGTCGTCTGTGGCATTGACACACGATTTAAACACTAGAAACATAAAACATGCGTATGTAACCTGTAGGCTAGTTAGCTAGCCTGTCAACTCTGAAAACTTCCTGTTTTGGTGAGACGCAGCCATGGACGCAACGCACAGGTGTTGTGTCCGCGGGGACGCGCAAGGGACGTCATTTCAGTTATTGGGCGTTTCGTCTAGTTTTCTAAGCGAAGGAACGAAATCAATGATTTACTTTCTCTCTATTGATTGATCGATATCTGTCCCATCAGATTAAACTGCAAATGGCTGAATAAATAATGTACATACAATTGCAAGGAGGCTCACAAGGACAATTTACACATCTGTAACATTTGTCATATTGGGATGAACTTCATGTTTTTATGTTTTATTCCAACAGAATACATGGTGAAAGGATAAGATGTGTTTTGTCAGTAAGTGTCTGATACTTGATAACCACGAATACAAAATACGTAAAAAATGACAAGTAGGCCTAATGATATCATGATATAGTCAGACACTGTTATTTCAAATCGAGCCTAACGAATAATTAGTTAAAAACTGGCTTTACTAACTTGAATTGCTCCTTAGAATGTAATTTTCCTCTGTGATTTTCTATGAACACATTTTTGTATTGTAATGCCACTCGTATTTTATTTATTAGTGTATTGTAAGGTGACATTGAATGTTTTGAAAGGTGCCCTAAAGTAAAATATATTATTGTTATATATCTGCCTCTCTTACACTGCCAATGTTCCTTAAGGTGAATCATGGTGTCAATAGGGAAGATGGGTAAGCAGTGTGACTTTGCTGTTAATATACAAATGGGGATTTTATAAATGACTCCATGTACTCCAAGATAATTATTATGTCTTAATAGAGACCCAATTTGTGTGATTGGTGGGCAGTTACATCTACCCATATTAGGAAGTTTAATAAATACGTCTTTGTTTGTGGATGTTGTCCAAATTCTTAGGAACAGCTCCTCTCAAAAAGGAGTTTCACTCTGAATTGTATTTGTATTAACTTGACTAAACTGTGACTCAGATATAGTTGCAGTATATAGCCACAAGGGGGAGACAAGTGAACATCCGATACTGATCCCTCTCTCCCTCTTCTTAATTAATCAAGTATTAAAGGCTAAGAAATGCTGAAAAGGCGCAGTTTGTACATTTCAATTAACATGAATGTTTTCATAGACACAAGCTGTATTCAAATGGCTGATTAATTGAATTCCAGAAAACCATTCAAGCCTTTATTAGTGTACAGCAAATATGTTTGCACTGAATGAGGATACAACTCTGCGTAGGTGAAAATCTTGAATAGCTGCACAAAAAACGGATTTTATTCACCTTCTCCTGACACCGCACTGACATTGCTTTTGTCTTTTTGGTATTCACAAAATGAGGGGCGTATAAAGCATCAGATACATGTTTAATCTGTAATAGAAATTAATTTCCTTTTGCAGCTAAAATAAAAGGCTTCCTGTTGGGGGGGGGTCAAGAAAAAAAATCAATTAATATGCTTAGAAGTCATGTTTCTGTCAATGGCCAAATTCTGGGAGCACATACCAGTGAAGTCCAATCTGTCTCCCTAATTATGATTCATGGATTCATATCCCAGGAAATATTGCAACAGTAAAAGTTTGGATTCAACCCAACATGCAGCCTCATTATAAAACATGTCTCAATAACACAGGTTCATATTTCCTGTTGAGTTGTAGC